GAACCCCGTGCCGCGCGGCTACACGCGGCACCAACTAGGTAGTTTGAACTAGGCTTCCTAGTTCGAACTACCGTTACTCATGGAACTAGCGGGGTAGTGTAGACATACCCTTAAGTACTCATCATTTCATGAGGAGTAACGGTAGTTCGAACTAGGAAGCCTAGTTCGAACTACCTAGTTCGTGCCCCGTGTAGCCGCGCTGCACGGGGTTCGAACCAGCGGGGTTTTAAAAATGGCTGCTCCCCGCTTATGCAAATGAAGCCCAGGAAATTCAAATCCCGGGCTTCATTTGCAAGTGCGGTATGCCTACATTACCCTCCTAGTTCGAACTAGCGGGGTAGTGTAGACATACCCTCAGTTCTGCTATCATAGAATCCCAGAATCCTAGGGCTGGAAGAGACCTCAGGAGGTCAACAAGTCCAGCCCCCTGCCCAAAGCAGGGCCAACCCCAACTATGCCTGCTATACCTGGCACTGCTCTGGAGTGGGCAGAAGGATCATAAAATGTCTTATAAATTGGGCTCAGAGTATTCTGCATAAATGGATGCCACACAGATTTATCTGGCCCTACTCAGAATTGCCTTACATATGTATCATGCCAGCGGCATTCTTCAGCACCACGGGAGCATTGCTGGAGCACTGTGTACTCTGGCTATTCCCACCTGCTACAGTGGCCCTTTAGATTCTGTGGCTATTTTGGCCACAAGTTTGCACAGCTCAGTGGGTACTGAAGCAGGTCCTGCCCTGCCCAGAAAATGTAAGGTCCAGAGGTCACATAAAGCCTTCTTTGCCTCCCTTCCCAAAACCAAGCTCACTCAGGTGCAAGGATGAAGTGGGCCATAGAAGTCAGTTTCTGTGTGTAGACTCAGTGTGCCAGTAGATGGTAGCAAAGAGTATAAGTGTACTTAGGAAACCCTATTCACAAAGCCATTATTTGAACTGTTGAGATGCGACTCAGAAACAAAGATGTCAAAATGAGATTAGGATTTCTCACTCCTGCCCTGCAGCCCCCTGCTATTCCAGCCCTGGGATCCCCACAGTTTGACTGCCAATGCCCCTTATTGAGATTTTTTCGCTGTTCTTGTATCAGACTTCTTTGGGGTAAATTTCAACAATCATAATGAACGTTTGACTGCCAATGCCCCTTATTGAGATTTTTTCGCTGTTCTTGTATCAGACTTCTTTGGGGTAAATTTCAACAATCATAATGAACAGTAGTTGGTTTTTTTTAACTTTTCACCTACAGCTGGGGTTCACTAAATTAATTTAACTCTGTGAGGTATTATCCATTTAGTCCTACAGAGGGGAAAGGTGCCCAGCTCTCTTATTAGACCATTCTATATACTAGGTCTTCTTTTTGTGTTCAATTCCACATTGGCTTTCGTACCTCTCCTCCTATGCAGGAGAAGATTTTAGGACCCAGTGCAAGGTGGGGTTGAGTTTTCCAGGTAATCGTGAAGTCACTTCCTGTCTCTACGCTACAAGTAGCATATTTCTCTGGTGATTCAAGCTGAGTACTATATGCAAAGAGAAGCATGTCTCAGCTCTACCCATTTCTTCTGTGGCTGCTCATCCCTCCTTGTAAGTGTTAATAGAGCCTAATTCAAAGAGAGAGCAAAGAAGAGGGAAAGAAGAGAGGAAGGAAGGAATGGGACAGTGATAGATAGATAGATAGATAGATAGATAGATAGATAGATAGATAGATAGATAGATAGATAGATAAGAGGGTGGGTGGGGATAGATTGATCAACTGATTGATCAAACACATAAGGAAGCAATGACAGACTGAGAGAATAAGAGAGCCAGCAGGCAGGCACAGAACATCCAGGACGCGGGTCTCCTGATGAAGACTATATATCTGTGTCTTTAATCTCTCCTTGGCCCTTTTTCTCTTGCTGTCTGATGGCAGAGAGTAGCATGGGCACTTGGTGCTGACTCTTAACCCTTTGCTCTTATCTCTCGGTTAGCTCTCTGTGAAGAGAGTGAGCAGATGGTACTCTCCCAGGTACCCAGATGGGTGACACTGAAGACTGGGACTTTGGCCATATTGCACTGCTACCAGAACAACACAGACCATAGCTGGATGTACTGGTACCGACAGCCGACAACACAGCTGGGCCCAGAGCTCATAGGAGTGCTAATTAAAGGGACTCCAGACCCCACTTTTGAGGAAAACTTCAAGGACAGCAGATTCGGAATGGCACGTGACAATGACAGACACTGCATGCTGCAGATAAATCAACTGAGCCCTGGGGACTCTGCCCTTTATTTTTGTGCCTCCAGTCACACACTGTTGCAAAGCCCTAAAGCTGTGGGTCAAAAACTGGGCTTGGGGTTCATATATATGCCCCCTTGGCTGGCTGCAATCTGTTCGGAACTCACACACTAACCTGAGTTAGCCCTGGTCAGTGTATGAACAGAAGCCTTCCAAGCAAATCCAAGGCAATGCAGGGAATGGTGTCAGTGACTTCTTCCCTTTTAGTCAGTATTTTAGGCTCCCAGTGCTCCACTATGATGCTAACGGGTGCTCTGCCACAGGAGGTGCCATTATTTGGAAGCAATATACAAGCTAAAACCCAGAGCCAATCATGGTGCTTAAAGGGTAAAAAGCATTTTTGCAGGAGTTAAGGTTTTATGGTTAAGTTGTTTTTCTGGAAAAATTCCAAAAAGGTGATTGTGTCCTTTGGCCTCACATGTCCCCTGCAGCATCAGGGGATATGGCATTAACTCTCCACTCTCTGAGAATGTTGTGCTGTGGCCTTCCCTAGGTGCTGAGGGTCTGCATTCACGCACAAAGAATAACAAGACTAAAGTGTCTTCCCAATATTCTCATCTGATCTCCTGGATCCTGTTCTGCTGGGACTGAGTGTGTCAGTCTGGGTGGGAACACACACGTCTGTATCTGTGCTGAATTTCTAGAGCTAGGAACATTTTCATTCAAAGCTTTTGTCAGATAACATTCCCCAGGAACTTTTTCTGACCAGCTCAGTTAATTTCTCGGGGGGGGGGGGAGAAGGGGGGCAGGTAGTGAGTCTGACTAGGTTTGTGTAAGTGTGTGACTCTACCTGTGCATTTATACGTATGAATGAGGGGTGCGCTATTCAAGTGACTTTCCAAACCTGCTTCTGAGTGTACAATGTCTATTTGTGCCTCTGCTTTTCTCTTCATGTTTTTGGGGTGTGACTGCACATGCCTCTGCATATATGTGTGCCCATGCTTGTGCAATCACCTCATTTCTACCACTACTCTCATTGTGGTGTGTCATTACTGTCATGTGCTTGTGCTTGTATCTATGTCTCTGTGTGTATCTGAGAGACAAGATAGGCAACATGATAGCTTTTATTGGACGAACTTCTGTGAGAGACAAACTTTCCAGTTACACAGGATATATCTAGACTACATGGCTCCGTCGACAGAGCCACGTAGATGAGTTTACTAGACATAGGGAAATGAAGTGGCAATTTAAATAATTGCCGCTTCATTTAAATAGAAACGGCCGCCACACTGTGCTGATCAGCTGTTTGGCAGCACAGCAGGGCAGTCTGGATGTGCCGTAGTCGACAAGGGAAGCCTTTGTTGACCGCTCCATTATGCCTCGTGAAATTTAAATTATTTAAATAGTCACTTCATTTTCCTATGTCTAGTAAACTCATCTACATAGCTCCGTTGACGGAGCCATGTAGCCTAGACATACCCACAAAGATACTGCACTGCAGGCCTTACTATCGCTGCTACACATGGCTGAGATGGCTACAACAACATCCCCACAGTCCATGTGTGTCTGTGCAGTTGTCTGTACACAAGTGTCTAGCCTGGGTATTTCTGTATGGTTTCCTGCCTGTCACAGCTCCCCACTCCCTCTCCTAAGCTACATACCACTTTGGCTTAAGTTCTGAGGGGCTGTAGGGAGAGAGCAGAGAGAGCATAGCAAGTTCCTGCACAGAGAAACCCAGGGAACCTCTCCATCGGGCCAGGTGTCTGTGGGGTATGATCACCTCCTGCAGTACCATCTGTTTCCCTTCTTTAGTCATTAAAAGCACAAACCCTGCCATTTCCCCAGGCCTGGCCTCTGCTGGGTGTCTCTGGGGCGGAGCAGAGGGAGGAGCTGTTTTTGTATGAGGTTGAAACATTGTGGGGACAGCAGGGCCACGGTGATACATTCCCTAGGGAGGTCTTTACAAAAACCTCCCTCAGACAGTGAATAGGGTGCAAGGCCCCCCACAGCATGCATCCTGCAAGGACTGCTTCACAGAGCACAGGGAAGCGCTTCTTAATACCCAGCGCTCCATTGGGAGCTGCCTACATAGTTTCAAGGTTTTTTTCATCATAACCCTGATGTGTTCCTGAGCCACATCCTCAAAGGACAACTCCTAGCCAAGACCACACAGCAGACCCTGGTGGGAGAAGAATCTCTTTGGCTCACCCAATAGTTCCTCTATTTGTGGGACCTCCCAGGGAAGCATAGTCTGCACTTGACAGGTATCCTCCATAAAGGAACAAAAGGTGGATGGTTGTCTTTGAAAGTCAAGCAGCCACATTCCTCCATGTGTCATCTTTCTGCACCTGGCACTGACCTCTCAAGGTATCTTTCCCAGAAAGGCCAGTGTCACAGAAATTCCAGCCCAGTGTGGCTGAGCAACCTGCCGGGGGAATCTGTGATTGATTTCGCCGGGCCTAGCAACACTGTGTTCTGGCAGTACTGTCTACTTTGGAGAAGGAACCAGCCTCACTGTCTTAGGTAAGTGACTTCTAGGAATTAGGGATCTAAAAAAGTCCTATAATCTCCCATCTTCTCCACCCTCCTGTCTTCAGCTCTCCAGGGTGAGAATATATCCTGCTGGAGAGTGCTCAGGATGTTGTGCAGACCAGTTTTCCATCACTTCCCTTTGCAAGACAGTTCCACAAGATGATTATCACAATCTCCCCCCCCCCACCCCCACACTTTGCTCTTGGTGTATTTTGAGATGGTCTTTGTAGCACTGTGATTCATCTCCACCACAGTTTGGCTCCGGGACACGAGTGACAGTATTAGGTAAGTAAAAGAAGCTCAGGCATTAAATAATTGGTGACAATGAAATAGCTTTTTCAAGAGCAAATGAAAAAGTTATGTGTGCAAATTTGTCTGGAATAAGGTAGGAAGGGATAGGATGCAACATGGAGTAAATGAAAACCCTTCCCTAAGCACACCATTACTGCTACCCTTTGACTGCAGGAAGGGGTAATTGCTTCTACTATTACATGAGACCAGGAATTGCAACTTGGACGTGGTGGGTGAAGGGAGGGAAAATGGGAAGGGAGGGTGGCAGATGCATTATTACATAAGTCTCAGAAGAGTAGCTGTGTTAGTCTGTAACTTTAAAAAGGAGTAGTCCTGTGACACCTTAGACACTAACAAATATATAGTATCATGAGCTTGGCCTGAACAAAGACTTGAACTGAATGTCATATTATAAAACCAGCTTTCCTTACACTGAATACCCCATTGATATCAAAAGCTAAGTATGGGACACTTCCAGCCCACTCAGTTAGCCTCATTAGCACTGGCATTACAATAGACAGGTGCCTTTTATTTCTCCCTCTCCCTTCTTATTCATCTCCTCTGATGAAGTGGGTCATGAAAGCTCATGATACTATATGCATGTGCACACCAATTGGTAACTTCCCTGAGGTCAGGCGGGTGATTTCTGTACCCCTTCATAACACTGTGTAAATACACAACAGTACTTTGGCCAAGGGACCAGGCTGACAGTGTTGGGTAAGTTTGCTTGCGGCCATTCTGTCTCCAACCCCAAGCAAGGTTCATTAGCAAAGGCAGGTCAGACAAGTGCAATAGACAGCAGTGAGGCATTGCTTTGCTAGATAGGAATCAATGGATGCACTAGCTTGGCTAATGGTGACTAATTGGAGGCATGAGAAAGACTTGCCAGGGCGCAAAGAGGGAAAGGAATCCCCACCCCAAGGGCCATTTAAAGTGAGTACTGGAACAAAGCCCTAGACTGTCCTGCCCTGGGTATGGGGTTAGGAGAAGAAGGTAAAGATACCTTTGTTACCTCCAACTTCCAGGCTGTGATTCAAATGCCTACATTTCCAAAGGGTTGCCAATAGCAAGCTGCCATTTCTCCAGGTGGGTTTGGGATACAAGGAAGGGTGAAAGGAGCCAAGAACAGCATAAATGGGAAATGGCAGCCCCTTGGGGGCAGTGGTGTTTCCAGGCGGTGGGTCTATCACTGTGTAACTATGCTGAAGTTAATTTCGGCGAGGGCACCCGGCTCACAGTACTAGGTAAGAGAAATACAAGCAGATGAAGTCACCAATGTAAAGGCAAATTTTGGAAGAGATCAGGTAAGGAGAGTGGGGTGTCCCAGACCTCCTCTAGTGCCTGTAATTGCCTGAAACAGATACGTGTGAGGGGGCAGGTGGGCAAAGTGTCCGAGACAAGATTTAGAGAAGGATTTTTTTTTTTTTGCTTAAAGATTGTCAATTTCCTTATGTCCCCCAAAGTGCTTTAAGTGCAGCACACTGCATAGTTGTACAAACCAATGTAGCTGATGTTCTGAGCTCAATGCTCACGGTATGTAGCCTCCAGCATTTCAGTGTGTTTTAGCAGGAAGAGAGGAACTGTTATCTGCACAGCAGCTCTTTCCAAAAAGTGACCTCTCAGTCTCAAATAGTCAACTGGAACAGCTCATGAGGACTGGAGAGAAAGGAGCTCAATTTAATGTCCCCTCCAAAGCTGTTAATGTGTCTTCTAAAGAGGCATCATCCTCTCTTCCCTGTACTCATGCTGTGCCAGCACTCAGTGCTTCGATCAACAGGACATCTGGCTTCTATGTCTGTGTCCCCGTCACCAGAACCAAAATTACAGGGTAACAGTTACTGCCATTTGGCTACTCCCTGAAGGTTTTAGCAGTCAGCAAAAAGGCTGTGTAAACACACAGCCGGTGTATTTTGGAGAGGGGACCAGGCTCACAGTTCTAGGTAAGAAAATGCAGCTTCCAAAGTATCTCTGAACCAAACAAAGTAAAATCTACAATTCCTGCCTGAGGGAATTTGTTCTGATATGGCTATTTCATTTTTGGTTAGACACATGGCAGGGAGAGTAGCCAATTTTCCCTTTAACCCAGATAAGATCAGTGTCTAATGGTGACCATGAAGAAAGGTGGATAATCTACCTTATCATTTAGGTTTATCTTAGTAGCTAACTTTTTCCACAGTTGCTCTAGTTTCAGTGAGTGGCAGGATAGAAAGAGGCCGTTGGTCATTTGAGTAAACAAGTAAAAAAAGAAACAGAGAAAATGGGAAAGAGACAGGAAAAGGGACAAAGAGGCATGGTGAGAGAATGGGAACATGGAAGCCATTTGGAGATGATGGCCAGAAGGATAAGAATTCCATGAAACATCTCGCTACATAATAAAGCTGGAGATAACATGCATAACCAGGCAACAAGCCTATAAGCAAGGATTTGAGGCTTTGGAGAGAGACTAGAGGAGCTCAGTGAATGCAACCCAGGGCAGAGCTGTCTCAGTGCAGTGGTGGGATTTGATCAGAGTCTGTTAATCCCCCAAAGGAGCAGATCTACCAATCTGGAAACAAACAGAACAGGAGGCAATTACCTAAAAAAAGGCTAGAAAAGTTTAGGGGAGACTATTAACAGATACTTCTGTGCTAGTTACATGGCACAGGAACAATTACCTGCTGGCAAAAGACAGTGAGCAGCTTATTCCCTAAGTGAGCACTCAAAATGTACTGTCCCCCTCCCCCACCCTACTGGAGGGGAGATCAAGGCTCCCGTGGTATATACATTTGGGGCTCCCTCTGCCTTTGAAGATGTTCACTTTGGTTATGACAGTTTCACGCTGTGTTCTTACAATTCCCCGCTGAACTTTGGCCAAGGGACCCAAGTGACTGTTGTAGGTAAGTAGATGTAGCCAGCTAAACTGCAGGGATCTAGCAATTGTCTGATATCTGCCCTGAGAGAAGCTTCTATGGTGGCACATCTTCCACACAGACAGACCGAGAGGGATATTGATTATTCAGTGCTGCTCAGAGCCCACTGTGAGTGCAGTGCACAGTGCACTCCCCTGCCCGCAGCTCTGCCGAGACCCTACCTTGAAAACTGCATTCAGTTCTCAGTCCCTCACTGCCAGGAAGATCCTGACAGAGCAGGAGGGGGCTGAAGGATGAGAAAATAGTTTCATTTGGTTACATGGCAGCTTAGCAGGGACGTGATAACATTCCACGTGCATGGGAAGTGTTGGCAGGGAGAAGAATTGGAGAGCCCCAAGAAGGTAAGTACAGGGCCAACACGACAAACCTGAAGAAAAGGGGGGAAAGCCAGGCTACAAAGGGGGAGAGGAAATCTCACAGAGAAGATCTGTTAGACTGTGGCATGGTAGGGATGGGATGGGGGAGTGTGAATTGCTCAGGATATCAAAGGCTAGGATTGCACAAAGCACTTTGCACATACAGGGTGCAAGTAACTTCCCCTCCTGTGTGGGCTTGGTGGAGTGGATGGAAGGGAGAGTGTGACCTGATTCTAGGCCATATTGCTGTGTCTGACATTCCCAAATGGGCAGATTCCCTCATCATCCAGAGGCCAAAGGGAAGCTAAGATTAGGGAAACGAGGTCTTTGGCTGACAGCAAAAAAGAAGAAGAGAACTTCTCCTTCACTGTCACCTACTGCCTCATTCCCTCTCTACCCCTCTCTTGAGAGGACTTTGCTGACAAGGGTGTCAGGCTGTGTTCTGCAAATGTGCTGTACTTTGGAGATGGAACACGGCTCACCATTCTGGGTAAGAAATACCAGCAATAGTGACTGGGCCAGACCCAGCAGGTCACAGGTGGGCAAATACACCAAGAAAAGAGTTTTGGGAAAGACAAAGAGAGACAGAGGGAGGGGAAGGGAGTTGATGATGGGGGGAAGAGAACAAACTAATCAACCTGATTACAGTTATTAAACCTATCCAGGTCATAGATAGTTGGGGTAAGAAAGAAAGAAAGAAAGAAAGAAAGAAAGAAAGAAAGAAAGAAAGAAAGAAAGAAAGAAAGAAAGAAAGAAAGAAAGAAAGAAAGAAAGAAAGAAACAAACAAACAAACAAACAAACAAACAAACAAACAAACAAACAAACAAACAAACAAACAAACAAACAAACAAACAAACAAACAAACAAACAAACAAACAAACAAACAAACAAACAAACAAACAAACAAACAAACAAACAAACAAACAAACAAACAAACAAACAAACAAACAAACAAACAAACAAACAAACAAACAGGAATTATATGGTTCTAATTTCATGTGTTTAATGGCTGGAGCATCCCCTTCAAGTCCAGGATGCATGGAGACATCAAATCTAATCCCTGAAAAGGTGGTGAAGGGAGGAAGGCTGAAATTGGGCTACAGACATTCATTAGCAATGGGACTATCCTGCAGTGGCTGGGATATAAAAGTGTGAGAAAGTGGGCCTTGGAGGACAAGCACTGACTCCTGGAGTGTGTGGCAATGCTGAGGTTGAGGTTCAGAAGCAGGGGATAGGGTGCTTTACTGTGGAGAGCTTTTTGCAAATACAGTCTGATCCAAATCATCATTGGGGCACATAAAGGATAATGGTCTTCCTGCTAAGATTGCGGAGATGCACATACTTTTCCCAAATATGCCTTTGGCTACTATTCTGCAAGGGCATGACTATGCTACAGAGGAAGATCGAAGCTGCTGCTGCCGATCTTCAAGGGTTCAAATTAGCAGGGCTCGTTAAGATAGCTAATTCGAACTGAGAGAGGCCGATGCCGGTAGTCCTGCTTCCACAAGAAGTATGGGAAGTTGAAGGAAGAATATTCTCACTTCGACTTCCTGCAGGGTGGATAGCTCTAAAAGTCGAGTTTAGGTACTAGGACTTCAGCTACACAATTAATGTAGCTGACGTTGTGTGTCTTAATTCAGCCTTGTCCCGTAGCGTAGACATACTCCAAGTATCCTGCATTTTGAAGGTTAACTATGGCATCTTGAGGAGTGCAGCTCAGGGCTGGGGAGTGAGTAGTTTTGGTGTTGCAGTGCAAAGATGTGATCCACAGACATCCAGTATTTTGGAGCAGGAACTCGACTGACTGTGCTGGGTGAGTGAAAATGATGGTAAAAACCCATCACATACACACACCCAGGTGGGAGAGACCAGAGTTTGGGAGTGTGAAAGGGGCAACAGAGGGAAGAGGGAAGCCTGTTGGGAAAATGGAGACTAGTCTCCCTAAGGGAAGTCATGGCTTGAGTTATTTAAAGCTAGGGCAGGCCAAAGCCCAGGAGGGAAGGGCATAGAGAAGAATTCTCTGCTGGCTAGGAGAAAATAGACAAAATACAACAACAGCACTTTATGGGGATGGCAGCATTCCCTAGCAATCTGTTTTACCCTGTAGAGTAGTTTAGGAGGGGTTTGGATGGGGACAAGGATTGGGGAGGAAGTTTTTGGTGCAGCTCCACAAGGCTGTAACACACAGTATTTTGGAGCAGGGACATGGCTGACAGTTCTGGGTGAGTGGAACGAAAACATGAAAGTGAGCAAAAAAATTAGCAGGAAGAGACTAGAATAAAAAGCAGTTTTTAGAAGAGTTTCTGGTGGCAGAATTTTGTTTCAAATGGGATCAATTTAAAAGCGGGACAGCAAATCAGACAGACAGTGAGGTGGACAGCAGAGAAAATAATGAAAAGTAGGAGAGTAGAACGAGTCCTGATTCCAGGGCATTTGTAGCATGGGAGGGAAATGCTGTGCTCTGGTTCTGGCTTAGTGCAATATTTCGGAGATGGGACCCGACTCACAGTTTTAGGTAAGAAAAATAAATAGTTTTATCATCTCATGAGTTTTCTCTCGCAGCCCAGTGGGATTTGTACATATCCTACAGAAACCCAGTGCTAATAAAATGCATTTTGGGAAGCTAGGATGTGCAAAAGAAGGTGCAAAACATTTGTGTGAAACCCTGTCCCTCTTTGCTTCAGTGGCAAAATTCCCACTGACTTTAATAAGGCCAACATTTCACTCCCAGAGGTTTTTCTGTCTGGTTTGCGAGTGCTGAAAGAAGATAACTCTGCCTACCATGTGATCTACCTAGGTCCTAGGACATGTCTGATTGTGCATATTTAAGGAGAGGGCTGGATTTGTAATAAAAAGATCTCATGAATTAATGGAATTAGAAAGGAAACAAAGAACACACATACGAGAGAAAGACAGGGAAGGATGAAGTACTAAGGAGAAAGATGGGTTTGTTTAGTGTAGTCCAGGAGGGAATAACTAAAAATAACAGGACTGGAATGGAATTAAAGGGAAATAATCCACATAGTACGGTAGGTTGAGAATTTCTAGTAGTGAGAGATCTTGTTGAAACCATCTCCAAAGAGAGATGGTCAAAGTCCCTTGAGAGTGTACTGCAAGGCAGTGATTCTCAACCTAGTGTACATATACCCCTGGGGTACACAGAGGTCTTTTAGGGAGGTCATCAACTCATCTAGATATTTGCCTGGTTTCACAACAGGCTACATGAAAAGCACTATCTAATTCAGTGCAAGCTAATGTCATACGGATGACTTGTTTATGCTGTTCTATTTATATTATACCCTGTTTCTTAACTTTTGGGGGGGCAATATAATTTATTGTTACATGGTTAACATGAGAAAGAAACAATTTTTCAGTAATAGTGTGCTCTGCCACTTTTGTATAGAGACACACACTACAGGCCTATTGGGACAAAACTTCCATTGATTTCAATGAGAGTACGGCCTGTGTGAGGAGTGTATAGGGGAATCAAGTTCTGAGCTGTAAGTTGCTATTTTGCCAACCAGCTCAGTTTTATTACTGCCCTGTGTCTCTGTGCTCTGGATATGAACAACATTTTGGCACAGGAACCAAACTGACTGTCCTAGGTAAGGAAATATTTGTTTGTGTGTTTGCTACATAACAAACCACATACAGTTTTGAGCTTCTCTTCCAAGTTTCTCTTTGCACATTTGTGGACTGGACTTTTTACTTATTTATTTGTTTATTTTTGATTTTTTTTTAAATTGCAGGATTAAAAACAAGGGGAACTTGCTGAAAGATTGGAAAGTTTGGGTTAGCTAAAGGAGGGTGCAGTCTTCAGCATCTTTTTCTGAAGTGAAACACACGCTTTAAGGATCTGGGGAGCAATAGGTGTCAATGAATGACTAGACTTTACATTTGCTGTTTAGTGGTCCTTCAGGAACACTGGGGCCAGATTTTATAGGCAACACTTTCTATTGACTTCAGTAGAAGTGGTTCATACACAGTTTAAAATGATGGACGTCCTGTGTAGAGGTCTAAAGAGGGCCTTGAATCTGTCTCAAGAAGTATCTCCCCCTTCACACAATACACTCAGGGTCAGATACATGACCCAAGAGTTGTCACTGGCACACAGTGGCAGGAGAGGGCTTATGTAGGACTTATGTAGGACTGTGTCATTTGCTTTCTGTTCTAGAGGATGGGCTCAAAATCACTGCCCCCACAGTGGCCATCTTTCCCCCATCAAAGCAGGAGATCAACGACAAGAAGAAGGCCACTCTGGTATGTCTGGCTACGGATTTCTACCCCGACCACATCAAGCTGGTTTGGAAGGTGAATGGTGAGGAAAGGAAAGAAGGGGTGAAGACAGAAGAATCTGTCAGGGATGAAAGCTCAAAAAGATACTCACTGACCAGCCGCTTGAGGGTCTCATCTCAGGAATGGTTCAACTCCAAGATCGTATTCAAATGCTCTGTTGACTTCTACACAAATATGACCCAAATATATGCTAAAGAGATCCGTGGTGGAACTGGTGAGTACTGACCACAAAACTCCTAAGGGGCTGAGTGGGTCTGCCCTCTGTAGCATTTCCACTTCCAGGGTTAGAAGTTGGAATGGAAGGCAGGATTACAGGGCACCCGACTTAATCACTGATGTCCCAAGAGACAGTCCCAGAATGGGAACTGTCACCTCGGAGTTTTGCAAAGCAGAACAATTTGTTAATCCTGTGCCACCAGGATCACTGTATGCTGCATTGCAGCCTCTGCCAGCCCCTGGGAGATGAGATTGGGACTGAAATCCTACAAATTGGTAAATGGAAACATCATTCGCTCTTCTTCCCTCCCCGTACCCAATTAGTTGTGGAAAATTGGCACAGATAGTTGGGCTCAGATACTAACTTCTTCTTCTTTCTCCTTTCAGACTGCAGTGTCTCAGAAGGTCAGTTAAAGCCCCTTCTCCCTCTTTAGATTCATGCATATATTATACCTGGGGTGTCCAGTGTGCGAGCCACTAGTCACATGTGGCGCTTTGGCCAGTTGAGTGTGGCTAGTTTGCTATAGTGGTAGCTATACATGCACCTATGTATACTCTGATGTACTGCTGTGGATGATTGTGGTGTTCATGTGCATATTTGTATGTGTGGATACACGTGTGTACATGTTTCTGGGTTCACAGACCTGTGGGTGTGCACACAAATGGACTCTCTCCACTGCATGCAAAAATGGTTCAGTGGAATCTGTACTAAGCATCAGTGACCAGTGGCCAGCCCCTTGGTTTTAGATTTCAGATTTCATCCTACAGATATCACCTAGGGCCATCTGGGTCAGTGCTGACTAAGAAGGGAGAGCACCCCTTAAAAATGAGTCACCTACCCCAATCTGCAGCACAGCACAGCCTAGCACCAGACTGAGGTGTTGGGACCAGTTTTATCTTTGAGGGGACATCTACACTAAGGAGAAGATCAAAGCTGTCACCTTGGATCTTCCAGGATTCGAATGAGTGGGTCTAGTGAAGACACGATAATTCAAATGAGAGGGCACTCCCATGGATGCAGGTAATGCTGCTTCTAAAAGGAGTAAGGGAATCTAAGGGAGAGTGTGCTCCCTTTGACTTCTTGCAGTGTGGACAGCACCAAAAGCCGAGTGAAGCTATTTCAACTTCAGCTATGCAATTAACATAGCTGAAATGGGGTATCTTAATTCAGCCTTATCCCGTAGTGTAGACATACCCCGTGGGAATTCTTCTGAGTCACACCAGTTTTTCAAACTCAGATTTTCCTTAGCAGTCTCCAAAGCAATTGCTGGCCAGAGCTGACAGTCTTTAGCTTTGAAGAGCCAGTCCTTCTTGGTGGAATGGCTAAAAGCACGTAAATGGGCAATCAATGGATTTTACAGAGAAGCACTGCACCATGTTCTGATAAACTGCAGGATTAAAAGAAACACCCTAGGCTGAGAACATTCTCTAAAGAGTCTTTCACTTCTCTGTTGGTTTTGATGTATCATTTATCTTTTGCTTTTCAGAGTCATATCTGAGAAGTGCCATCGCTGGGAAAAGTGTGTACATTCTGCTCATTTTCAAGAGTGCCTTGTATGGGTTCTTTCTAATGGGGCTAGTGTTAAGAAATAAGGTGAGAGGATGTTTCAAATTCTATGCACTCTGTGCCAGGACAATTGTAACTAGACTAGAAGTGATGGGTAGTGAGAGGGCAAGCTTGGATGAAATGAGGATGAGCCATGAATCTTTGACTCCCCCGCCCTTTCCCAGAAAATTCTACAACTTCTAAAGTGCAAAAAGGTTCAGTGAAGTCTTTTTCTTTTCCCCATGTCTATGCACCTCCAGGTTTACAAAAGAGTAAGCCAGAGAACTGGAGAGAG